TTTTGTGGTCTCCAAAAGTATTTTTTAAAATTAAAACTGTCTAATTAAAGGAAAGACAGTAGGACTGTCTTGACACATGATCCACATCTCTGATAACAGCAGGAGGACGCTGCTGAGAAAGCAGAGGTATCAGAGAGCAGAGTCCAGGGCTCAGCCCACCCCTCAGGACATTGCAAGCTCAGGTGCATTTCCGTCCAGTGCTCAGCCCACCCCTCAGGACATTGCAAGCTCAGGTGCATTCCCATCCAGTGGCTCCACAGACCTCAGTTACACCATTCCTCATCCACAGGGTTGCAGTCAGGATCAAGTGAGGTCATATTTACAAACACACGTTCAGAGCTGTAAAGCACTATTTAAATGTCAGCTTCTTATTGTGATGTGATCTGCTTGTGACGGTGCTACAGGAAATTGGGTCTTTAACTAGGAATACACAGTACGCTGTAATCAAAACAGGTTGAAGAACGTAGTTTCATAAAATTAGTGAACCCATCTGTGATGCTAAGTTGTTCTATTTTGATCTCCCCCACCTAAAATTTACTGATTCCAGGAATTGGGAGTGACCAGACATCCCTATCTTAAGTTGGTAATGATAGGTGCTCTGATCCTAAAGAAAAACACATACACACACAAATTAGTTCCTCTTCCTACAAATGATACTACCAGAATCCAGCCTTGCAAACGCAAGTAGGTTTTTGTCTCCAAAACCACACAAGGAAATTAAGTTGAATGTGGGGTGCTTTTGCTCTCCTGTGGTTCTGGGTTAACTGGAGAGGGATAGGGACCAAAAAAATCTGTGGTACAAATCTGCAGTTTCCCGTAAAGCCACTAATCCTACCTTGAGGTTCTGAACGTGTCCCTTCAACAGGATTTAGATTTCTCCCCATCAGTTACCAACGTATTATCCAATATATAGCATCAAAAGGATATAGCAACATGAATTTGTTTATTTCTATTAGTGGGTTTGCAGCAGCATTCCCCACCTTTACTGGTATTAATCTCAGCATTGTAGGCTGTGTCTTGGCTCCATATTTGTGAGTCATAAATGGCATCTACATAAAATCTGTGCCTATATTTATACTATCTCTCTTTGTCAGTTCAGGAGATTTAGTATCCCACTTCATGCCCCCAAAACCTAGTTTAATACTGTGGAAAGTCACTTATGTCTCATTGTACACACAAAGCCTAACTCCATAATTCAGACTTAAGGTGACAAAGAGCTAACCAGATGGAACATCAACATAGTCAAAGGCTGTAACACGAAGAAGCACCCACAGGCACTGAGAGTGGAACTCGGTGTTAGTGGGTTGAGTTTTCACAAATAATGCCTCACTGAGGATGAAGCTTCAAAGCAGCCAGGCAGGAAGAAGCACCCACAGGCACTGAGAGTGGAACTCGGTGTTAGTGGGTTGAGTTTTCACAAATTATGCCTCACTGAGGATGAAGCTTCAAAGCAGCCAGGCAGAACCGCCTTATCAGATGTCTCCTGAATAAGGATACAGCCTTTTGCTCCTTGTCCAACTGATGTTCTGCAATTAAAGCCTTTCATGCAGAATACACCCAGCATTTGAAAAGAAACAAGATTTAGTGCCTCCAGGGGGTGTTTGGCACCTTTTTCACCAAAAGCAGAAGTGTTTGCCATTCACCCCTGTGTGTGTGTGTGTGTAAGATGAGATGCCAGATTAATTTTCATTTACTAAAGATTCCTATTGGAACCATGAGGTTTATTGAGAGTCACTGGAAAATAATATCCTCCAATCAGACATCCCACTCACCTGGGCTCTCCTGTCAGTTCACTGCATTCCTGGCTCAGAGCTGAGGACCGTTGTTGCATCTGTGCCCCAGCAACCTGTTCACTATCAACAAATTAATGGAAAGAAAGCAGGGGTGCATTCAAAGCATGAGGGCAAACAGAACAGGAGGCTGTGCATAAGAGCTATAGCCAAAATCAGGTCAGACTCGAGAAGGCAGATAGAAGTCAGATAAGCCCTTTTATAATGTGGTGCATTGTTTTATGAATTCAGATTAACCATGATCAGACTCCTGAAACATGATAGCCACATATGAGAAAGATCTGATACAGCTTAGCCTTAAGGTGGGTGTAAGTCTAGTAATCTAACAATAATATTAAAAATCAAGGGAGAGGAGTCAGTGGTTTCCTCTCAACCTTATCTGGTCATATTCAATAGCTGTTTGACAAACAATAAGCAGTTCTGGTTAAACAATCCTTTTCCTGCAAACACTACTGAGCCTCTTCCTATGCCACTGCATCTCAGGCAAACATATTAATTGCTTCAGATAGGTCCCTGTCTTAGGTCAGCTTCCCTGGAAGCAGAGCCTGAGTCGGGCGGGGATTCTTGTGCTAGTGTGTGATTGGGGAGAGAAAAGCAGGAGAGGGCGGGGGTGAGAGCCAAGCAAAGATGTGGTCCTGGCTCCATCCTAGCCTCATCCTGATCCTGTGGGGAGCTCTGGGGCACAGCTTGCACCACAGAGTCCTACCAGCTTGAGGCAGGGCCCAGACTGCTATGAGCCCTTAGTGACAGTGGGGGATGGGAGCCCCAGGCAGATGGGCTGTGGGACACCAACAGCATCCGTCATGGTAGCTACACTGATGGCACAAAATCTATAGGTGCCACGCAACATGGTAAAAGACATAGTTCTCATCCCATCCCTGACCTCACTAAGGACATGATGACATGGCATGGGCCCCTCACATGACCTCTCTAAACATCAGTTTCCTAGTCTCTATAATGGGAAAGGGGCGTGGCAGGGTTGGATTAGGTGATCCCTATACTCCCAGCTCTGAAATGCACAAGGGAAGTGATGGGGAGGCTCACTGAGGAATAACTGATGTTTTTTCTGCTCACAGAAGGGGAATAATTAATGTAAATGTGTCCCTGAATGACCACTCCATTAAAAGCTCTTCTCTCACCTGGAATAGCTCTGGATACACAGGCAAATCTGAGAAGACAAGCAGTAAAGTTGCCCTGAAGTCATGTGTTTTAAAAAGAATGGCAAGGCTCTGTCTTTAAACAAAGTGCTTTCATGGCAGTTTACTTGAGGGAGCATTAATGCAACCAGACAGCCTCATTTAACTGACCCCTCATCTAAGTGAATTAGAGACAAGAGGCTGGTGTAAAGCACTAGCCAGAGGCTGTCCCTGCAAAATGGTACAACCTCTATGTGGAGCATTTTGGCAAAAATCTGTCAAAATTACAAATACATTTACTCTTTGACCATGCAGTCTCCCCTCTCAGAATTTATCCTACAGGAGTATATGTATGAAATGACATGTGAATTTATTCACTGTGCCACTTTTCCAAGAATAGTCAAAGATTGGGAACAACTCAAAGGTCTATCAATAAAGGCCTAGTTAAAAAAAAAAATATGGTACTGTCTGCACAGTAGAATACTGTGCAACCGAGAACATTCTATACCAAGAACATTCTATACAGATGTGTAGAGCCAGGGCTGGGACTGGAGCTCACAAACCCTTCAATCCCATTGTTCAGGCTGGGTCACAAAACCTTCACACACAGGTCTACAAGCTAGGTAACTGGAAGAAAGGTCCTCGGAGTCTTGGTTGAAGAAAGAAGAGTCTTTATTCAGTACACACACATCTCAGAGCTAGGCAATTAAAAGAGAAACTCAGAAACTCAACTGCTACCAACAAACTCCGAAGAAAAACTGAGCAGCTGCCAGCAAAGTAAACATGCTCTCTTTTTAGATGCGAGCTCTCTGCCGGCCAGCACTGCTTCACCAACTCTCAAACATACAATAGCAACAAAACTAAAAAGATACATTGGCACACACATGCACCAAATCCACCCCCATACACAATTTGTTTACAAAGAATGTGCTGCACCACACCCAACTGAACCCGAGGTGAGAGGGCCTGATTAAACTATTCTATTTTCCCAATAATACGGAAAGTTCTCCAGGATATATTAATAAGTGAAAAGGCAAGTGGAAGAACAGTATATTATAGAATAGTATTATATCAATCATAAACACATATGCATGTATAATAAAAGTATGCTGCTTTCGTATAGGAATGGAGGTCATAGAATATATATTTATATTGAAGTGTATCCCTGGATATCTGGAAATCGTTTTTGTGTAAATGGAAAGAAGCTTCTATAAGTGGTTACCTATAAAGGTGAGAGAGTGGGAAAATAAGATAGATGAAGAGGTAGGTGGGAATGAGTATTCTTACCAAATGCCGTTGTAGAAAATTTTTTTCTGAATTTTTCCCAACCACCATGGGCTACTCTGTAAGGAAAATGGAGCATCTGTTTAATTAAAAAATAAAATGAAAATTTAAAGTCAAGCATCAACAAAAGCTGGTCATTCCAACTTCCCTTATTTCATGCTTTGGTTCAGGGATTGGCAAACTATGGCCAGTGTTTAAACAGTTGCAACAGAGACCAAAGTCAAGCATCAACAAAAGCTGGTCATTCCAACTTCCCTTATTTCATGCTTTGGTTCAGGAATTGGCAAACTATGGCCAGTGTTTAAACAGTTGCAACAGAGACCGTACTCGCATGGTCCACAATGCTGAAAATATTTTACTATCTGGCTCTTTACAAAAAAAGTTTGCCAAGTCCCAGTTTAAATTATGGAGGTATTCATAAAACAGCTGTGACTACCCTTACTAGTAAGCTTCTGATACTGAAGGGTTTTGTCTTCTTGAAGTCAGCTTTTCTGTCCACAGATAGCTTATGCACCAAGAAAATGAGGCAGGTGGGGTACTGTACCAGTTAAGAGAGCATGGACTCTGGAGACAGATGGCCCAGGTTTAAATCTGTGTTCTGTCCCTTACTTCTGTGTGACCTTCAGCAACTTAACTTCCAGAATTCTCCGTTTCCTCATAAAATTGTTTGGAAGATCCTCCCTCATAGATTTGTTTGGACGTTTAAGTATATTAATGTTGGAAAGGGGGTTAGCACAATACCTGTTAGTTAGCATTATCACCTAATATTGTGACTTTTTTTTAACAGGGTGATGACCAGTTAAATGTATTTGGAGAAGACACCGTGGGAGGTGAGTTTCCTTTACTCATCAGTTTAAAGTTGTCATTTTAGTAGCTTTGAGCATGCCTTTTTTATTAAACACCACCTAAGAGACAATATAATGCCAACAGCACGCACTTTTCCCTTAGCCAGGGAACATGACTAAGAGTGGAACTTTGGATCTCTCCCCTCTTGGTCTATGTAAAGAGCCAAAGGTATGCATTACTAAGAGATGCATTTCCTAACTGCCCAGAGAACATGACTCCCCAGATGCTCAATGAAAAGAGGATGTTCTGGTCAAATATGTTTGGGAAATATTCAAAATTGGATCCCCATTGGAAGATTCACATCTATAGCAGAGTAAGGCTCCCAGAAGACCTGCAGTAAAGAGAGCTAACTTTAATTCCACATTCTTCACACTTAACTGGAACACAAAACTCTTTTTCCTGCATAGTAGTTACTATTCTGCAGTGTTCCTTTGGGACCCGACCTAACATACACCAGGATTATACTGTTTTGTCATTTTTGTCATATTAAAAGTCTTGCAAAAACTAAAAATCCACCCACAATTAGCTATTCATGTAACTAAAAATAAATAAAATTATTGAATTCAGTACTGTCCAAAAAAGATAGTTTATGATTGTCTTAGATAAAACACATTTTCACGTTCCCACTCTGTAATAACAGTTGTGATGATTACGATCTAAAATTATTGAATTCAGTACTGTCCAAAAAAGATAGTTTATGATTGTCTTAGATAAAACACCTTTTCATGTTCCCACTCTGTAATAACAGTTGTTATGATTACGATTCATGGAAATATGTTTATAGTATTGACTGTGTACACACACAAGTAAGTGATCTGGCTTTCTACATAACCCCAGCTCTAATCCTGCACTGATCGTTGAGCATGAGGTAGCAGATAAAGTGTCATTTGATGATAATGGCAGTAGCAGTGTTTGAAAATTGCAGTCACCAAATGACATCATTGTGATTCATGGGGCAAGGCCCATAAACATGAGCCATAACTCAGCTGTCGCTTAGCTAAGTGCAAATAATCAACTTGGTCTCAACTGGATAGGGGATGATTGATGGCCTGAATAAATTTTCCATTTTTCCTGGTTATAAAATTAACACATACTCACTGTGGAAACTTTTTAAGGTAGAAAATAAAAGTCATCTAAAACCTTATGACCTGTAAATAATCACAGTGTAACATTCTAGTATATTGCATTACAGTGTGTTGTCTGTATGTCTGTTTTTACATAGTTGAGAATACATGTGTATATAGAAATATTATCTCCAAATTTTTTCTACATGTCAGAAGCATGTTCCCATATTATTAAAAACTCTCTATAAAGTTAATTTGTAATGACTACATTGTATAAATGTACCGTGATTAGTTAAAAAAATAACTTTTAAAAACTTAAATAGAATACAACCATACAAAAATAGAATAATAATAACCCTGGTCACTTTCCTGGATTCCAAATAGATTAGAAATTGCTCATCTTCATAAAAATAAACTAGCAAGCTGGAGAATAGGAAAGGACCATCTAGTCCCACATGTTAGGAACACCAGTGTATCCACCTTTAATAGAAAACTCCAGACAATATAAGATTTTTCCAGTGACCATGGGCTACCCTGTAAAGAGATTAGAGCATCTGTTTAACTAAAAAGAACAAAAAATTTCATCTTTCCATATGAATACCATATGGTTCCAAAGACCCCCCAACTCACTTCTTTCCTATGCTTCCAGCTCTTCCTCCCTTCTTTGTCCCCAACCCAATTCTTCATGACCCATTCTCTTTCTCTCTCTCTCTTTCTCTCTCTCTCTCTCTCTCTCTGGTAGAGTTGGGGCCTTCACTCAGCTAATAGAGGATTCCTGTAAAAATTTAGCATTGTTTATATAAATGAACCATCCCAATTCCACTAAAAAATAAGTTTTAAAACTGTTTTATAAAGTTTTATAAACAAGTTAAAATGATGTTTAACTTACTTATAAATAAATTATGCTAAATTTTTAAAAGTAGTTGTCATCTACATAATATGTGAAGTGTAAGCCACAGTACTATCAGTTCATCTTAAGTGTAAAAATTATAATTTTACCATCAAGATGGGAAGTAAAAAACCTATGACCTCTCCAAGTAATCACATCCCCCATCATTTTAGTCAACTCATACCCAGAGGGATAGTGATAGCAGCCGCTGCCAGAGCCAGAAAAGATCCCAGAGTGCCACCTAGACTAGGAAGTCAGGGGCTGACTCCATCCAGTAACACGCCTCTCCCCTGGGTTCTCCCTGCTTAGAGGGCTTCTCTAGGAACCTCAGCAGCCCAGGATCTAGAATGCACATCCAAGAGGCTGGGGTTCCAACAAAAAACACCAAATGCCTTTGAACTCTAGTGTCTTTACTATAAAACTCCATGTAAATTTTTCATCCTACATCATAATATATTAATGTCTACTCAACTGTCTTGCAGTTTGAAAAGCATCTCCCTTAGCATAGGCATTAACAAGAATGAGAAATTGTTCACAATTATCTTCCATTTTTCTATCAACACTTGCATCTGTTTAAGGGAAGCATCCAGCCTCAGATGCATTCATTTGGTCAGCATGGTGCTCCAAAAACTTAACTTTGAATGTTGACAATTGTTAACCACAGCCCACACCATCCACAGCCACCCACAGAATCTTTGCCTGGCCTTTGTCTAAGCACATCAAAGAAACCTTTCTGGAAACCAGCATAGTTCTTGTTCATGGAATCAGCCTACCACCCCACCACCCCACTCTCATGCTGCTGAAAAATTAGCAGTCCAAGGATGGAATTTGACCTGGTGAGATTCTCTGACCCTAGAAGGACCTGCATCCTAAGCTTTGCACCATCCTCATTTGCTTAGGATGGGCCTCTAGGTTGGAGCAGTACCTGCCTATGTGGCTTGTGCAGATTCCAGCTCTGAACTGCACAGCATCCTGAGCTAGCCTGCAGCTGCAGTCTTTACCCACCTTAAAACTCTGCCTCCAGGGCAGAAACCTGACCCTGTGCCGGCACAGTTGAGTAAGCAGCATGTTAACTCACGTGTAGTTGGTTGGAATCGAGTGCATATGAAGTCTTATCTTCATAAATATAATCTTAGGATCTTAAAGCAAGGGAGATTGCTCATCTCAACTCCTCTCTGAAATAGTTTTAGGTGGGAGTGCTGTTTCTCTTGTCCCTGGGGCCCTTGCTCTATTTTTTTTTTTAACTTGAGGATCCCCTGCTTCCAGATTCAAGCAGTAAACATTAGCATTTTCTGAGCCCAGAGACTCTGAGTTCACAGAGCTGTTCCCAATTCTGGTTTTCAGTTGTAGTCATCACTTCAAGTGACCTCACCCTCACCTGGTATCTCTTATAATCATAGTTTATTTAGGAAGATACCTGAAACGTATGACAATAATAACATCATAACTTTAGCTGAGGGACAAAGAAGTCCACTTCCTCAGGTGACCCATTCATTTATGGGAACCACAGAATCATCAGTATTTGAACCAAAAGAGGCATTAAAGATCATTGGGTCCAACCCATTCATTTTACAGTCGGAATAACTGAGACCCAAGGAAAGGAGGTCACTTGCCAAGTCGAGCCACTTGGTAACAGGACCAGAAATGTAGCTCTTATCTTCTCCCCAGGACTCCCTACTACACCACAAACCCCAGAGAGTTTCACATTTTGCTTAAAATTCCTACCATAAATCATTCCTTTGCCTTAAAACAGTGTATCCCAAAATTTAATACTTGCTTACCACCATCCTGATCTTTACTCTATCTCAATACTACCTATACTGTATATTATCTACTTAATATTTTTCTGTAATTGACTCACTGAGGTTACTTAAATACATTTATTTTAAAAGGAAATTTTATATACTACCTTAAATGGGAGGTGGCATTATTCGTTGTAAATAGAAAGTATTTTTTTAAATATGATCTTCCAGATACTCTACTTGGGTTTTAACCCCTCTTTATTGAAAGGGAGATTTGCAGATGTCTAAAAATTTAAGTAACACCAAACTGAGATACTTAGAAAGTGTTTTAAATAATTTTAAAAAATAGCTTTCTTTGTGATTTATGCTATTTAGTGACATCAGTTTTACCACCCAAAATTGATGGTACATGTTAAAATGAAAATATATTACCTTGGTCTGAGAATAAAGGTGAAATGGTTATCAGTGCCTGTTAATTGCAGCCTATTAATAAGGTAAAATGGTTATCAGTGCCTGTTAATTGCAGCCTATTAACACGTTTGCTCAATTTCAAGCTTATCAAATAAAACTACAAGATTTGGGGTTTTACATAACATGAATAAAACCAGGGCTTCAATATAGTATGTTTTGCCAATAACTTAAATTATTCTTATTTTAAAGGCTTCATGGAAGATTTGAGGAAGTGTAAAATTATTTTCATGATTGGTGAGTAATAGCCCTCAAATTTTCTAATACAATTGCTAATAATAACACTTTGATAGTGAAAGACTATTAATTTCTCACTCTTTTTTGAAATCTTGTCCTTTGGTCAAAATAACACCCCAAAGGTTTCCAGATTGTTGCTTTCATTTACACATTTTTATATTGCTTTTGGCATTATATCTTCTCAGCATAGAAAAAGGAGGACTCTAAGAAACATCAAACCCCTGAGTTTAGCTCTATGATAATAAAGTACGTTACAAGGGTGAGAGGATGCCGTCTGTTAAAATCTAACATACTCCTTTTCTGTTTGAACACTGATGCTCTCCTTCCTGAACTAAATGCATCAGTGACCACATATTCAAATATGCTTCAATAGCCATACCTTGTATTCTACCCAGCTAATGGTAAAAACAATCTAATTTGTTCTGCGCCCTAGTACAGTGAAGCTCATTGATAAGTTAATTGTGGGATAATATGCATTTGTGGGGGCTTCTGGATGGCTGCACACGTAGGGGTTCCTGAAGGGTGGCACACCCAGAGAGGACATGGAAGCTCCGCACCCCTTCCCCCATACCTCACCCTATGCAGCTCTTCCATTCGGCTGTTCATTTGTGTCCTTTGTAATAAGCCAGTAAATGTCACTTTCCTAGTCTTCACAAGCCTGAGCTTCTGCCCGAGCCCACTCTCCACTTCAGGGATCAGCCAGCTCCTGTGGCCCTACACCCAGGTCTCTTGGCACAAAGGACAGATTTCATCTCCTTTCTCATCTTCATCAGGGTTGTCAAGTGACAACCTGTGGGCCACAATAGCAGGGGACTGTCATCTGACCATTTCTCAAGCCCTGGAAGCCTGTCTTCTAAAAGGGAGGTTGCTTGGGTCCTCTAAGGGAAGGAGAGGGATGGAATCCCATTCCTGCTTCTTACCAGATGTGTGACTCTGGAAAATGGGTGTACTCTCTGTGCGACTGAACTTCTCCACTGTAAAATGGGGAACAATTGAAACCTTCCCCAGAGTCGGGTGGAGAAAATGAGAAAACTTAAATAAATGTTTGGTGCATTAAATACACACACACACACACACACACACACACACATATTTGGAGCTAACCAACATTTTCTGAGCACCTGCTATGCTCCAGTTATCTCATTTAATCCTTACACAATCCTATAGGTTGGTATTGTATTCCTATTCCATATCTATTACATAGACGAAAAAACTGAAACCCAGGAAGGTTAAGGAACTTATCCAAGATCCCATAGTCAATGAGTGTGAGAGGCCGATGTCCATTTTTCCTCATGGAAATAAGTGGGACTAGTTGGGCAGCAGTTAAAAATGTACAGAAAAGCACATGTATTTTCAAAGCGTCTCTCAAATGTTAGTATTTTTTCCTCTCATCATGCAAGTAAATAAAAAAATTAATACAGCTACCTGCACATTTTTCAGAAAATAAATATTTATATTCAGAAATAATGAAAAAATCTTCTTCTCCTCAATGAGTGGGGGAAGAATGGCTGTCAGCACCACAGAAATATAACCAGATAAACTTAGAATCTCGTAAGCCAAAGTCAGGATGCTTCCTTGGAAATCTCTGAGTAAACCTCTCATTCTCAGATGTGGAAACTGAGGCCCAGAGAAATTAAGGGGTTTGGCCAAGGTCATTCAACCAACTGGTGGCAGAGAAAGGACCAGTGTCCGCGGCTGGAGTTCCTCATTCCAGGGGTTGTCCCCTCCACCACTCACTTGTATTGGTTGTCAACCTGAGCTCAAACTGTCTCACACATCCAGCCTTCTGACAAATCCTTATTGAATATTGCACCCATTCTGGGCAATGAGCAGCAGTCACAGAGCTTCCATCTTAGACAAAGAGAAAAATTAATATATTGCAAACCTTGAAAAGTACTAGGAAGGAAACAAAGCTGAAATAGGGAACAACCTGGGTCAAGTGTTTGGGGTAAAATTGGGTGATTACTTTAGAAAGGGTGACTAGGTTGGGCCGGCCCGGTGGCGCACTGCTACAGTGCACCGCTTGGGAAGCGCGGTGGCGCTCCCGCCGAGGGTTCGGATCCCACATACAGACCGGCCGCTCACTGGCTGAGCGAGGTGCGGGGGCAACACCGAGGGTTGTGATCCCGTAGCCGGTCCCGGTCCGGTACGGGCGCGACACTGAGGGTTGCGATCCGTGGCCGGTCACGAAAAAAGACAAAAAGGAAAAAAAAAAAAAGGGTGACTAGGGACGTCTTCCCTGAGGAGGTAACATATAAGCAGAGAACTAAGTGAGAGATGGGGCCAAGGAAGGGATTAATGAGAGGTGAGAGGGGGAAAATTCTAGTCAAAGAGAACAGCATGTCTCAATCTCAAGCAGTGAGACCTACCTTAGTTCTATTTCTCATCGGTTTGCCCGTAGTTGACCTTAGCCTTGGGAGCTGGATAGACTCTTCCCACACTTATTTTACATTCTTTTCAGAAAGTAAAAGTATATTACTTGTATTTCTTACAGAAGAGAAACTCAACATCATAATTTCAAAGGAAAATCACTTGTGCCATAAATTACTAAAATTCCCTTTTCTGCATAAATTTTAATAACCAATTTTCTTGGCCACCACACCATGCACAACGCATTTTATTTTCTGTTCAGCTTTTATATTAGGGGCCAAATTAGGAAAAGGAGAAACCCTTTAAACTTGATATCTAGGAATTTATCACACAGAATCTGTGTTTTTAATAATGTGGTTCAAAAAGTTTCTAAAAATAGTACGGCATGTTTTGTGGTTGTTACTCTCTCTAGCAGTAATATTATTTCAGGTTTATCCATTGTTTAGCTTTCACAGTTGAATTTTGAAGTTTATTTTCAAATGTCCCTTTTATCTGTCTAGGCATAACTAAAGACCTCAACTCACCTATGCCCTTCAGGAAGTCAAATAGCACAAAGTAAAATCTTTGGCATTAGAGAAAGTTTGAGGCCCCCAAGGGTCCACAGACCACACTCTGAGAACCACTGCTCTGAGCATAAGTTTTCTTTTATATCTAACCAAACTCTCCTGTATTTCAACTTACTGGTCAGTCACTACTGTAATAAAAGAGATCTCAGCTTACCATTTGGGCAGCAGAAGGTCAAAGCTACTGTGATATGAGGGGAAATGATTGCTCTTCTAAGGTATTCACTGGACTCTGAAAATTAAGGCCTTAGTTCTAATATTTCCTTGATAGATAGCAGAATGGTATTTGGGGACTGCATTACTGCAGGTTAATTTGAAGCTTATAAAAATACTCAGGATGTCATAGACACACTTTTAGCTGTTTTGATGAGTTTTAATAAACGAGGGTCATTTGATTTCACCAGAACAAGTGTGGTTTGTCTATATGAGAAGATGACTGAATTTTTCATTTTTCAAATTGTTGCCTTGGCATCTACCAGAACCACAGTGGGGCTGCAGTGTTAGCCAGAGCCTAGGTTGGCATCCTCTTGTTAGTCTTAAGACTCTTCCTCTGATTTAAAGTATCCATTTGTTCCTTTTTATCCACAGAAAGGTCCAAACTCCTCAGGCTGGCCCTTCAAAGCTCTCTCCTGACTGGACTCCACGTGTCTTTCCCATTTCCCACTACACCCCCACATCACCCTGTGGCTCCAACCCCACCTCCATCCTTATTATCTCTTGAATTTGCCCGGCTTATGCCAGTCCTTTCACTTAGAATGTCTTCGCCCCTCTCTCATCACGCCCCAAGGTCAGGTTTAAGTTCTAGCTCCTGAGAAGTCTTCTCTAATCACCAGCCTTCCTCTGTGCTCCTCCATCACTTATGTCTGCATTGCTCATTTGGATAACCCATAATAACCAGAACAGCAAATATTTGTTGGAATAGTGAATTCTTTAAGAAGTAATGTGGTTTGTTTCCATAACAACCGAAATAGCAATTGGAATTCCTGGACTGGACCTGACAGGCAGGTCATTGCTGCTGTAGCTGTTTCTTGCAGGACAGTTTTTAGGTTAACTATGAGCCTAATCAGACACTGCTTTCTCCGTGTAGCTGCTACCCCCTCACTGAAAACAAGGAACAACAGCAACTTTTCCCCTAAGCTGGTGCTGTTTTTTGCTCATTTGCAAGGCAGTAGTTATAAGTGGGGCAGGTGATAGCACTGGCTGCCCTCCAAGTGGAATGAACGTCCAGAGAAAACAGACCATTTGCACCAGCAGGAAAGGTGACAAAGATGGCCCTGGCTGACCCTTTGAATATTGTGTGAATGTTACCCTTTTGTTCATGAAAAAAGCAGCTCAGTAGCTGTTTATAAAGAAATACCTTTCAGAGGACAGAGAAGAGATCCCCCAGGGTAGGGCCAGATGATCAAAAGGGTTGAAAAAGGTTCTACAGACTTCGGTGGTTCACAGGGAGATACAAGAACCTGTGCAGGTGCACAAGACTGGGACTCAATCATTTTCAAAAACAGAATATTATTTGGAAAATGTAAAACTATCCTTTAAAGAGCCTTGTTATGTCCCACTAACAGGTTCCTACAGTTTCTCACAAGCTTTTCTGATACATTTTTCTTTTTTTTTTTTTCTTTCTTTTTAATCTCTTGACCATTATCACACGATTATTTAATCTATTTTGGCTTCCTTTTCCTGTTTCCATTTTTCATTGCCTGCCTATGCCAAAAATGTGACATACCTGAATTCTTGTTCATTTATTTCCAAAGCCTGGTAGAAGTACTTCAACTTGAAAAACATTTCTGACTTTTCAGGGTGTGATGTTAATGGCATAATGATGAAGACATCACTCAATGTCCATAGTTTTCAGAGTGTCAGGGACACAGGTGGCCTTGTGTATGCTGGCATTGGTGATATGATAAAGTGCTTTTAAGTAGTGTGCTTGGGAGGTATTTTGACAATATTTTGTGTTATTCTACGTATTTTTAACCACTGCACAAATAATTCTATTTATTTTCCTTAGGGAAACTGGAGAAATGGGAATTTTTGCTTAAAACTCAATATTTCAATGTCTGTCACTAT